TTCCCACGGGATCCCTGTTCCAGCTGTGGGACCACTCACACCCTTTCTGCTTCGGCTGAGGTCATTTCTATGGAGTCATTGTTCAGGTCACCGATCCTTTCTTCTGTTGTGTCCGACCTATTTTCAATTCCCTCCAGGGAGTTTGTATTTCAAACATTGTATTTTTCTAGAATTCTAGTTCCAGAATCACCACTGATTTCTATTTGGTGTTTCCTCCTCTCTCCCCAAACTCCCCATCTTCCACCTGTGTCCACTGACCTACAGACCCTTGGACACACTTACCACAGTAGTGTACAGTCTTCATCTGCTTGCCAGTATCTGGCTGGGTCTGATTTCTTCTCTCTCGGTCAGTTTACCCTTTTTCCCTCATTTCTAGTGATTTTAGACTGTATAATGGACATTAGGAAGATACTGAGTGAAGACTCCAGATTTTGTTATCTTCTTTTGAAGAATGTCGAGTATTTATTCCAGCAGGCGGTTAAATTATTGGCAAATACCTTGTTTTTGTGGCGGTATGGTTTCAGGTTTTGTCAGGGTAGGCCTATGTTAGGCCTTAGTCCTGGGATGTGGTCCTTACTCGCAAGGTGTGGCCCGTTTGGGGTCTCAATGAAAAAGCCTGAGACGTTTACCGTCTCACTTGGCAGAATCAGGATTCAGACTCCATCTGCCCAGCAACAGGCAGCTGCTCTGACCTGTGCCTGCTCTCCTGCAGCTCCCAGCTATCTTCTTCCCCAGGCTCCTGGTAGCCACGTCCACACAAGTACAACAGCAGTCAACAAGGAGTTAGGGGAGTCTGAGTGGATCTGGGGGTATCTTCTTCTGTAGTTCTCTCCTTTCCAGGATGTCCCCCTTCAATAACTAGCTACTCTGGCAGCTCCAATTTCTGAACTCTGATGCCTCAGCCCACTAAGACTTGAGGTGAATTCCCCACCCAAAGGGATTAAGTGCCTGTGAGGTAATAAATGTGGCTCTCATTCAGTGTGGGTCCTACCTTTCTAGAGAGGTAACCCCTCCAAATTCTGCCTGCTTTTGGTCACTATTATTTCATTATATTTTGTGCAGAGTTTGTCACTGGTATTGGTAACAGTGTTAGTATGATACAAACTATTCTACTCAAAGTAGAGTTGATCTTAATGACAGGGGTGCAGTAAAGCTTTCAGGACCTCCATTAGCTGATGTGGCGTGACTCAAAATGGAAAGAAACAGCTGCAAACATCCATTAATAATCAGAACATGGAATATATGAAGAATGAATCTAGGAAAATTGGAATTTGTCAAAAATGAAATGGAATGCATAAAGATTGATAATCTGGGCATTAGTGAGCTGAAAATGGACTGTTTTTGGCCATTTTGAATCAGACAACCACATAATCAAATACGCTGGGAATGCCAAATTGAAGAGGAATGGTGTGGCATTCATTATCACAAAAAAATGTTTCAAGATCTATCCTGAAGTACAATGCTGTCAGTGATAAGATAATAGCCATATGCCTACAAGGAAGACCAGTTAATACTACTGTTACTCAAATTTACACACCAACTACCAAATCCCAAAACGGGGAAACTGAAGGTTTTCACCAACTTCTGCAGTTGTACAATGCAGTATGGATTACACCTGAACATAAAAATAAATAAATAAATAAAAATAATCCCCACAACTGGACCAAAAAGCAACATAATGATATATGGAGAAAAGACTGTTTTAAAAAATTGTTAAAGATTTCATATCACTTGGATCCACAATCAACAGCAGTGGAAGCAGCAGTCAAGAAATCAGATGATGTATTGCACTGGGCAAATGTGCTGCAAAAACCTCTTTAAACGGGTAAAGAGCAAAGATGTCACTTTGAAGACTAATGTGCCCCTAACCCAAGCCATGGCACTTTCAATAGTTTCTATGCGTGTGAAAGCTGAGCAACGACTAAGAAAGACCAAAGAAGAGCTGACCCTTGTGGGTGGTGGTGTGGGCGGAGAATACTGAAGGTACTACCATAGACTGCCAGCAGATCTGTCCTGGAGGAAGTGCAGCCAGATTGCTCCTTGGAAGCGAGAATGGCCAGACTGGGTCTCACCTACTTTGGTCATGTTGTCAAAAGGGACCATTCCCTGGAGAAGGATGTCATGCTTGGAAAAGTGGAGGGTCAGCAAAAAAGGGGAAGACCCTCAAGGAGATGGATTGACACAGTGGCTGCAACGATGGGCACAGGTGTAGCAGGGATCATGAGGTTGGTGCAGGACTGGGCAGTGTTTCCTTCCGTCGTACACAGGGCTGCGATGAGTTGGAGCTGACTCAGTGGCACCTAACAACAACAACAACTCTACCATCACCAGAAGTCAGAAGTATGTGCCCAAATTAACTTGAAATACTTCACAGATTTCAAATCTGCTCAGTTCTTCAGTCTCTAAAGGCAGGTCCTCATTGGCTAACACTGTCACCAACTGTAAATGCATCTCAATTTTTAAACTCAAAATAATAATCGGAGCACTTTTAAGAAAACAGGATGCATGTTACCTTGATGTAAAGGCAAACACATGTCTAACCAAACTCCCCAGGACCTCTGTCCTGCCCTGTGACACGATTTCATTTCTCGTGGCCGTCCTGATCTCTGGGTCACAGCTCCCAAAGCCAGCGGCTCTTCCTTGGGAACTCCCCCATCTGGAGCTTCCGACACAGCGTTTCCTGACACAGTGTTTCCTCACACTGCTCTTGTGGCTGTCCTTTCTCTGCTGTCTTCATTGTTTCTTCAGCCATTAACTGCAGACATGCCCCAAGGCTCAGTTCTTGGCCCTTTATTTTTTTCTCACTATACTTGGTATCTCGGAAAGAAGATGGGGCAATCTACTTCCATAGTGATATTGCCTCGGAAACCCAAGGAGGGGTCGCTATGAGTCCGACTCTATGGCACATACCAAACAACTAACCATACTCGGTATCTCAGGAAAACACCTACTGGAATTGCCTCTGTAAGTGAAGCAGGGCTCACTGAGGGGAAAGGTAACCAGTCTGCAGGTCCTTTGAAGTAAAGTGAGCACCAGTAGCAAGTGGGTGATTGAACAGCTCACAGTGATTTGTCCTGCAACGACCTGTATCCCCGGGTGGTGCAGCAGGAGGGAGGGAGAACGTCAGGTTCGCTGAACTCTGGAAGCTCCAGGTGCCTCCAGACGAGGACTTTGTGTCAACGCGTCCTCTCCCAGAGGTGACTTACGCGATGGACTGTAGGATAGAGATGAAATCACAAGGAACTACTGCGTCTTCTAAGGCAGCAGGAGCAAGATCAGAGGAACTTAGTATATTTCCTTATCATAAAACAAAATCATTAATAATGAAATACCTCCGCTTCAGGCGTAAGGACTTGTCCTTACCTGTTGTTAAAATTAGTACAGTACGTGAGGTTCCTGCAGCCCAGCTGGCAAGGCTCCCGGACGTCTGCCAAGCAGGTCAGCATGGGCACTTCCACGGGGTTGTACTCGCAGAAGCGATCGAACTCCTGCCAGCTCTGCGTGTTGCCCCAACTCATGCTGTAAAGTTTAGTGCACAGTTCTCTGAAACAAAGGCACAGACGCACAAACATACAGAGGAGCCAGTGAGTGTCTGATCTGCAGAAAGTCACATTCCATTCACTACACTGAGACCAAATGAGGAAAAGTTCAAAAACCCAGAAGCATAAGATCCATTTCCTAAAATTCACAGCCAGAAGCAATCACCTTTCCCAGGAAAAACAGCCCTTCTTTCACCAGCTTTCTCTTGCCTCTTGCCCAGGTTGTTAGAAAGCTCAGTGTGAAGTTTAATGTTCAGGTACAGTATTTGCACATCCTTAGTTCTTGACAGTTACTTCCTCCTGTGCCTCTCTAATCTCTTTTGCCTGCACTTCAAGTAAAGTGACTCACAGGTCTTCACCTCCACAAAGATACCTTTCCCGTATCTATGTCCCAGTCACGGGAAGGAAAATGACGTGGTCCTCAGACCTTTTTAAAGACACAGTGGAGAATCTGAGTTTCTGAGTTCGTTAGTTTCTCCCTGAGTATTCTTTAAGACATGCCATG